CAGATGATTTTTGAGCACCTCCTGGTGCCTGGCACTGTGTTATTGCACTAGAAATATGCTAATGAACATAAGCAAAAAGTCCTGCCTCCTCACTTTACATTCTAGTCACTAAGTGGATAGACATATGCTTTTTCAGCTAAATAAGCAAACACTTATGTTAGAAGGTAAATCCTCATCTCCAGAAAGTTATCTTTCCGTGGTAGCGAGGCCCCCACCACAATTCCACATCTGTGATCAGACCTGCGCCATGCCGAGGCCTTCAGAGCGGGTGGGTGGGGAGGAGATGCCACAGCCGCTGCTTGCAGGGGCCCCATCGGGGCAGGAGGTGGCAGGAAGGGCCCATCTGAGCACCGAGGAAGTCTGTGTGCGTGGACCGGGCCATCCTGACAATGCGCACCCCGAGCAGATTTCTGGGGAGGTTTTGTGCAGTCAGGGCATCAGCTGGCATCACAGGCACGTGGGGCGATATGGAGGCCACCCTGGAATCCAGGTGAGGCATCGTAGATGGAGAAGGGTCAGGCTGCCAGGCTGGAGTGCAGTGGGCAGAGGCAGCAGAGGCTGCAAAAGCTGGTGGGGCTGACCTGGATGGCGGGGCTCAGTGGCTGAGCCGACCTATGAACCAGGAGGTCAGGGCACATACCCAGATTTCGGGCTTGATCCCCAGTAGGGGGCGTGCAGGAGGCAGCTGATCCGTGATTCTCTCCCACTACTTTCCTCTCTGAAATAAATAAAAATATATTTTTTTTAAAAAGCGGTGGGGCTGGGCCATGAAGGCCATAAGGTCAGACTGAGGGCCAGAGCACCCCTCCAGCTCCAGGGGTCCCAGGACAATCCCTAAACTCCCCTGGCTGACCCTTAAGTACAGCTCAGCCATCAGCTCACGGCCTGGGATGCTAGATGGGGAGGGAAGGAGCTCGGTCCACACCCTCACCCACTTTTGCTGGATCCTGAGACATTATCTGCACCGAAAGCGGGTTCCCCTGTGGAAAGGACGGAGCCCTCAGGGTTACACAGTGGGGGCCATTGGCTGTCCTTGGTAAGATCGGAGCGGAACTCTAGAAACATTTCTCTGGCAGCAGCAAGTGAAGGGCGGTCGGGAACCGGTCAGCGAGGAGGCCAGGCCAATCAGCCAGCCCAAGCTGATGCCTCCTGAACTGGGGAAGTGGCAGTAAGAATGCCCAGAGGTCACAATGATGGGTTTTCTGGACTTGAGAACTTACTGAGAAGGGGAAGTTGAGACAGGGTCAGGGATGGCACCCTGATTCCGTGCTTGGCAACTTGGTACAGGACCGCATCTAGTGTATATGGCATCTTTGTTGAAAAGGGTACGTTCTTAGGACTGACACAGCCCATGTCAGAGCTCAGAGCTTTGCGGTTTTAGCCCTCACATCCATCCTCTGTTGGCTGGGTGCCTTTGTGCAGTATGAAACCATCCATGGCAGCTCTCGCCGGGTGCTTTATGGGGTCACTCTGGAGATGAGGATTTAGGAAGAAGGATGGAGAGGAGCAGGAGACGATGACTGGTTTTGGATGTGGTGGGCTGAAATACTGAGCATCTGATAGGTCCAGGAGGCAGCTGGGGGCGGGAGGGGGACAAAGTTGAGCCCTGGGGAACAGGGGATTCCACACCTGCCTCACAGCATTTGCTCTCTCGTTCTGCCCGCAGACCCCCTGCCTCTCCCCTGGGTGCTGCAAGAGGTGGAGCTAAAGCTGCTGGGAGAAGCTGCCTGTCAGTGTCTCTACAGCCGGCCTGGCCCCTTCAACCTCACTCTCCAGCTCTTGCCAGGCATGCTGTGTGCTGGCTACCCAGAGGGCCGCAAGGACACCTGCCAGGTGAGGGCAGGCCCCTGCATCTGCCTGACTAGTAACCACTAGGAAGCAGTGTGAGAAGCAGACAAGCGCCATCTCTCTCGTATCTCTGAGTCTTATCTGCAAAAAGAGGGCAAGATGCCAATAGGTGGGATTGATGTGAACAGTATAACTAGACAGAACTTGGGGCTCAACAGTGGGCACTGTTGTCTATGGCAGTACGTGCAGGGTTATGTGCCAGACTCTGGAGTGAGTCTGCCTGGTTTGAAGCAGGGCACCACCACATATTGGCTGTGTAACCTTGGCCAAGTTATTTAAATACCTTTTTATTGATTTCAGAGAGGAAGGGAGAGGGAGAGAGAAGCATCAATGATAAGAGAGAATCATTGATTGGCTGCCTCCTGCACACCCCTCCACCGGGGACCCAACCTGAAACGCAGGCATGTGCCCTGATCAGGAATGGAACCGTGACCTCCTGGTTCATAGGTTGACACTCAACCCCTGAGCCACACCCGTCGGGCACCTTGACCAAGTTATTTAACCTCATCCAGACTTTCTTATCTGGAAGACAGAGATGATAGTGTTCCCTATCTCATAGGGCGGTTGGGATGATTAAATTAATTTACACATGTAAGAGCACTTAGAACAGTATGTGGTCCTTAATAAGAGCTAAATAAGTATCAGCTACTAACATTATAATAATCCCACTTCCCAGCTCTCACTGGGTGCTTGACGGGGCCATTCCTGAGATGAGGATGTAGAAGAACAGAGCATGGCACCTTTTAGTATATACTCAATCAATAGTTATCTTTAAAAACGAATTAATCCTTCCCAGAAGGGAATTTTCCAGATCACCTTCTGAAGGCCAAAATATAGTAATATGATAACTATTTTCCCCACAAACCTTTCTCAAATCACACACGTTTTTAGGGTACTCAGCCTGGGTGGTGGCAATGGGGATTCAAGCTCGATGGTCTTCAGGGTCCCTCCCAATGACGAAGCTCTGTGACTATGGGCATAATCCTCCGCCTTCTTGAGCAGGATTGCAAACAATTCAAATCCCTCTGGACCAGCGCTGTCCAACAGAGCTTCCTATGGTGATGGAAATATTCTGTATCTGCACTGTCCAGGGTAGTGGTCCCTAGCCACATTGTCTACTGAACATTTGAAAAACATCTGAAATATGATTACTGTAACTGAGGAATTAAATCTTTTATTTTTTAATATATTTTTATTGCCGAACCGGTTTGGCTCAGTGGATAGAGCGTCGGCCTGCGGACTCAAGGGTCCCAGGTTCGATTCCGGGCAAGGGCATGTACCTTGGTTGCGGGCACATCCCCACTGGGGGGCGTGCAGGAGGCAGCTGATCGATGTTTCTCTCTCATCGATGTTTCTAACTATCCCTCTCCCTTCTTCTCTGTAAAAAATCAATAAAAGATATTTTTTAATATATTTTTATTGATTTCAGAGAGGAAGGGAGAGGGAGGAATAGAAACATCAATGATGAGAAGGAATAATTGATTGGCTGCCTCCTGCACACCCCTCACTGGGGATTGAGCTTGCAACCCAGGCCTGTGCCCTGACCTGGAATTGAACCCTGACCTCCTGGCTCACAGGTCAACACTCAACCACTGAGCCACGCTGGCCGAGTTTAATTTTATTTAGTGTCTACCATGCTGGACATCACAGTTCTAGAGGATTCTGAGCCTTCTTTGTGACCCTGTTCAGGTCACAGAGATACCTGTCCTGGACTATAGAGATGTCTTAGGGACCATTCCTCTAAGTACGAAATGCCCACAACCCCTGTGTTAGTGTCTGTTCATTGTAGTCCTTCCTCCTGTCTTCCTGCTGCTTTTAGATTCCTATTTTTAACAGCCTCCTAAACGCTGGCACCTCTGATTCACTTTAACAACTGGGTGATCTTAGAAACCCAAAACAGCATTTATTTGAACTATTCATTGAATACGAGTCATTTGGCTCTGAGTGTCTCCCTGAAGGTCTCCCTGGCATGGCCTTTAGTGCATTCGTTTGGCGCTCTTGGCGTGGCTGTTCCTCATCGGCCTTTCTGCCGCTTAGTGTCGTAGGGAATACAGGAGCTGACGCAGCCAAGACACCACCTAGCCCCAGTCTCCTAGGAGAAGGCGGCTGTTTGCTGGTCCAACAAGAAGAGGTGTAGAACCTTTGGAAGGTGGCCCAGTATACACTGGTGGGTCCCTGGGCTGATCCCCTGACGAGGACTCATCTATCTATCATCAGGGAGACTCGGGGGGACCCCTGGTCTGTGAGGAGCAAGGGCGGTGGTTCCTGGCGGGAATCACCAGCTTTGGCTTTGGCTGTGCACGAAGGAACCGCCCTGGAGTCTTCACTGCGGTGGCTCCCTACGAGGCATGGATCCGGGAAAAGGTGATGGGCCCCGAGCCTGGGCCCGCCTTTCCCCCGCAGTCCCGGGGGCCCCAATCCGGCCCCCAGGAGCCCATGGATGAGAACTGCACCATCGCCCTGCCAGGTGAGGGGGTAGGACCCCTGGAGGTCCACTGAACAGGGGAGATTTGAGTTGGGTGGGAAGTGCTGGGGGTCCAGAGGCCCGCTGACCCAGGCCTCTCACCCGCAGAGTGTGGGAAGGCCCCGCGGCCAGGGGCCTGGCCCTGGGAGGCTCAGGTGATGGTGCCGGGATACAGACCCTGCCATGGGGCGCTGGTGTCGGAAAGCTGGGTCTTGGCACCTGCCAGCTGCTTTCTGGAGTGAGTGAAAACCCACGTCTCAGCCAGACTCCCGCCCCTCCCCGCACCGGCCTGAGACATACCTAGCCCCAGTCCTGAGTGGGGGGCTGGGGGGAACCTCAGTCTGCAGTGCGGGAGGGGGTTCTCCTTGGGAGGTGTAGGATCCAACTCACAAAGTGGGGTCCTGGTCTATCGGGAGCGAGTAGAGGGGTTAGTATAAGTTCGATCCGGGATGTGGAGTCCGAGTGCACAGTGCTCGGGTGGTAGGTAGAAAATCCTAGCCATGGAGCCAGGTCAGGGGTGAGAGGCTTCGCGCCCCGTGTGCGGAATCCAGCCCACGCGCCCAGTCTCCCCATCCCGCAGCCCCAGCAGCTCGGACCGCCCGCCCCGCGACCTGCACAGCTGGCGCGTGCTGCTGCCCTCGCGGCCGCAAGCGGAGCAGGTGGCGCGCCTCGTGCCGCACAGGAACGCTTCCCGGGACGACGCGGCGGACCTGGCGCTGCTGCAGCTGCGCGCGCCCGTGAACCTGAGCGCCGCCCCGCGGCCCGTGTGCCTGCCTCGCCCAGAACACTATTTCCTGCCCGGGAGCCGCTGCCGCCTGGCTCGCTGGGGCCGCGGCGGTGAGCGGGGGCGCATGGTGCGGGGGCGCGAGGCCCTGCTGCGCCGCGCGCGGACTCCTTCCTTTTTCTCTCCCAGGGACCGCGCCCGGCCCGAATGTGCTGCTTGAGGCGGAGCTGTTGGCCCGTCTGGTGGTGTCACTGCTTGTACGGCCCGCCAGGGGG